TCGTTGTAATGAGTCATTAATAACAGGGATTTTATCATTTTTTTCACTACTACTCTTTCCAGAAGTAAGTTTTACAATGTTTTCAGGTACCATAACCTCGCTTTGTTTACAATTTGAACATCAAATTATTGGTTATTTGGTTATTGCTTATTTTACATGCCCTTTCAGCACAGCTTTCATAGAAAGCACTTTTCTTGCAAATGCTGCATAATATAGCTTTTAATACTGATTTATTGCAATAATCACACACTACAGTTGTATTGCACATATTGCACTAACCTCCAAAGTCTTCTTCTCTTCATTTTTAACTTTTTACCAATTTACATAAAATTATATTATTGTGGTATATAAGAAATAACCTTAAATGTGCTCTCCTAAAAAGTGTCATAATTCTAGCTTAGCCCCTTCATCCCTCTGGTTATTCATATATACTGGGTTTTAAAGTAATAACCAAAACCTTTTATGTAGTTATATTTTAAAAATATGTGGCGAATTCCTAGAACTGATTGATACGTAGAATAGAATTGATGTATGTAGAATTGAAATTAAAATTCAACATGTAGATTTTCATATTGTTTGACATACAACAGGTATGGGTTTGGATTTCAAAAACATCTAAATTTGTGTTTTAAAACAATTTGATCGTTTGCACGTCGACGCATTAAGCACATTATTACCGCAATAAATCAACCGCAATACTAGTCATAAAAATGTCTATTTAATTAAAATATCCAAATTACCTACCTAGAATGTACGACTTTTGTGCAGTATGCCGCAAAGTTATGGCTTTTTTGATTGTTTTAAAATCAAAATTTCTTCGGACATATGAAAGTTTAATAAACCTTTTAGTGGTCATAATTTAAGAATCAAATATTAATTTATGTGAGAAACTTCGGTGACAACGACGTGAACTGCGTAAAATATTAATGATTTTCAAATTATGTCTGCTATATCTCGTTTTATATTTGAAATCTGATTAGGGTGTATTCGACTACGAAGGCTATATAGATACAAAGTAAAGGTCTTATGAAAAATTGTAAACTGGGAGAACTGTTTTATAACGTAAACGTTTTTTGTTCATTATTAACTCCATTCAAGAATATTAATTTTCTACGTTCGATTGGAATATTTTAATCTAGATTTAGTTTCATTCTTAACAGAGCAGGCGGAGAATTCAGAATCATTTTTTATAGAAATACAAAATCCCCTGCACAATGAAGCACCCTGTGAGTTTCATGTTATGGGCTTGTATGATCACTAACAGATAGAGGGCAATATAAATGATAAAGAAGGGTTGCAAACTGAAATACTGCAAACCAGTTGCTTCCATCTATCGGAGATTTGTTTGCAGGGAATGCTCAACAATGAATCTTTCAGCAGGATGGAGCACTCTATCATACGTCGAAGACCCCATAGAATGGTTGAGAAATCATGACGTTAGTGTCCTTGCTTGTCCTGGAAATAGTCCGATCTAAATCTAATAGAAAATCTACGGACAAGGCTGAAAGCGTTAGTATCACATCGAATCCCATGATACAAAGAATAACTTATACCATGATCAAAACCCAAGTAACAAGAGTAAACTGATGGACGCCATAATTCAAAACTGGTTTAGAGTTATTATACCAGAAGATTTGGCTCTTATCGTGAACTCTATACCTCACAGAATCTGTGCTAAAAAACAAAGGTTATCCCACCATTTTGCCATTTTTTAAAATATATTCCATGATATTTTACGGCTGTTGTGTTTGATTTATTTTTAAGATTTTAGAGGGTTTATTTTCTTAAAATAGACGTTAAATATTAAGTAGAAGCATAAAACGATGCAATAAAATGATAGATAATCATGTAAATAACAAACGCTGTGTGAAAAAGACAAATGTTTCTAACCAAACTAAAATGTTTATAAAGTCTCCAGAATTCTGACCACTAGTGTTTTTGGCCTAACTTTTTGCACAATAAAAATATTTCAATATTTTTGTGTGTACATTCCCAAATTTATCTAAACATAAAATCAAGGAAGCGCAAATATAATCAAATATGTTTTTATTGGTCGTGTTTAACTAACCAATGCGATTCTTGCGTACTTCTATTGGTTAATAAATTGTTTGTAAAAAGGGCTTGGTACTGGACCCACTAGAACTACTTTTATGGGATTTTATATATTCAAACAACTCGTGAAATGTGCCTGTAGCTACTTCGGTAACCTGGAGATGTTGCCCTCACCAATTGTGAGCCATCTCTTGTTTGTTAAATGGGCTTGGTACGTGTTATTACATTAGATGCATGTTTTGTTACACCGAATGGTGCCTACCACCTAGGTGTTAAAGATCTTAATTTCATCTTCCATTTTGTAAGTATAGTGAAAAGTAAACAAATTATGCAAATTTAATACAGGGTAATCCAAAAAGATGTTAGAACTTTCTGCAAATGAAAAAATCATTTATTACTTTATGTATATATATATATATATATATATATATATATATATATATATATATATATATATATATATATATATATAATATATGTATTATATATTATATGATATGAAAGTTTTTCCATCAATTTGGAAGGATAGCTTTATTACTTATTTTTAAGACAGATTCAAAGATGTTGTGGAGAATTACCGACATGTGGTAATCTTGTTTTCTATTCCAAAAATGTTTGAGTTCTTTGAGTGCAAACCATTTACTTGGTATTACAATTCTATATTAATTAGGCAACAAGATATATGCAGGACTGGCAAATTTACCTTGACTACCAGATCATATACCAACAGGACATTTTTTAAACTTTTGAGAAGAAGGTTCAGGTGGATGCTGCTATATCTGTTTCTTCTGGTGTCCCTCAAGGGTTTTATTTGGGACCTTTACTGTTCAATCTATTCATTAATGATATAGCTTTAATATTGAAGCATGTCAAATGTTTACTCTTTGCTAATGATCTTAACTCATTCTTCTCTCTCCTCGGCGCGGTGTGACAGAGAGTAACCGGTAGCGCACTTTATTTGGTCTGAACATCGGAGTGGCGATGTTCCTCGAGTTATATACCTCAATATATTTTGGTTGATGATTGTGGTAGGCCTAGATTTGGTATCTGAGTCCATTCACGAATGTTTTTTAACCAAGAAACTTATTTTCTTCCTACACCTCTACGGCCCCCTATTTTGCCTTTAAGGATCAGTTGTAATATTATATATCGACTTCTCCTTACTATATGTCCCAGATAAGAAATTTTTCGTTTAACTGTCTTTAGCAGTTCTCTATCTTTGTTGACGTTCCTTAGTACTTCTTCATTAGTTTTCCTTGCTGTCCAAGGTATCTTCAGCATTCGTCTATGAACCCACATTTCCAATGCTTTAATTTTGTTTATGATTGATACTTTTAGCGTCCACACTTCTGCACTATACAAAAGTACGGACCAAACATAGCACTTAACCATTCTTTGCCTTAGTTCTAAACTGAGATGGTTATTGTAAAGAAATGACTTCCTTTTCATAAAAGTAGTTTTAGTCATTGCTATTCTACGTTTTATTTCTATGTCTGGATCTAGTTGGTCCGTTATTACAATTCCCAAATATGTCATTTTGTGAACTTTCTCAACTTGAAATAAGTTTAATTGAAGATTTGTATCGGGATGTGGGTCACGACTAAATACTAAAAATTTGGTTTTGTTTGAGTTTATTTTAATGCCCATTTTGTTTCCTACCTCGTGAATACGATCAAGCAGAATTTGAAGACCTTTAATATTATCTGATAGAATTACTGTATCGTCTGCATATCTAATCACATTAAGTAGTTCCCCGTTGATTTTTATTCCACATGGTTGTCTCTCAAGTGCCTTTTTAAATAACTGGTCTGAGTAAACATTGAACAATGTTGGCGACAAAATGCAACCTTGTCTGATTCCTCGTTGTATAGAGATTTCATCGGTGTAGTTATCTCCAATTTTTACGATAGCAGTTCGATTCCAGTACAAATTTTTAATGACACGAATATCCTTGTCATCTATTCCGATATTTTTCAGTATTTGCAATAATGTTACATGCTATACTTTATCGAATGTCTTTTCGAAGTCCACAAAACATGTAAACACATCTTTTCTTTGGTCACGGCATTTTTTTAATAGGATGTTAAGCGCAAAAATTGCCTCCCTGGTTCCCATAGCATTTCTAAAAGCAAATTGGGTATCTTCAAGATCTTCTTCGCATTTGCGTCTAATTCTGTTGTGAAGTATTCTGAGGAAAATTTTAAGAGTGTGGTCCATTAGACAAATTAATCGATATTCTGAGCATTTTCTCCCATTGTGTTTTTTAGGTATTGCGACAAGAATGGATTTGAGCCAATCTGCGGGAATCACTCCGGTGTTATATATTGAATTAAAAAAAGTCTTACTACTATTTTATGTTATCATTCTCTATTAGTTTCAACAACTCAGTTGGTGTATCATCTGGACCATAAGCTTTTCTTATTTTAGCATTATTTATAGCGTGTTCTACTTCGCATTTCATAATTTCTGGGCCGTCAGTACAGTTTTGGTAGAAGTCGGCAATATTATTCCTGTCATCTTTAAACAACTCTGATATATACAGCTGCCATTCTTTTCTTATTTCGTGCTTATTCGTGCAATTTTGTTATTATTATCAACGAGTACAGAGGGAACTTGTTTTTTAAATATGTTACTCATTTCTTTTAGTTTTTTGTGCACATTAAATAAGTCGTGTTTAGATATTACATCCTCCATTTCGTCGCACCTTTCTCTCATCCATTTTTCTTTAGCTAATTTGATCTCCTTTTTTATTCTTTTCTGCAGGTGTCTATATTCTGTTACATTAGATTTTATCAGTCGACGTTGTTCCATTAATTTCAAGATGTCGTCTGTCATCCATTAAATTTTCTTGATTAAGTTTGTTCTATAATCATTGTTTGTGGAGATTTCCGTAACTTGGTTTTTAAATTCACTCCATAGTTCTTCTGGATCTTTTAGTTGTTCTCCGATGTTTTTTATTCTATTGTTAAATTCTTTTTAAATGTACTTACTTACTTACTAGCCAACGCCTACCCTTGACATGTTAGCCATTTGGTGGCGCGCTGACCAGTATAGACGAGCCGTTTCTCGTAGGCGATCTTCATCCTCCTCGGGTGGGTGGGTCTGTTTTCAGGGCTGAGCACTCTGGAAGGTGAGCAGCATCCATCTGGGGCTGATCACATAGTGGACAGTTGTCATTTTCGCGGACGCCGATGAGATGTAGATGGGAGGCCAGGTAGTCATGCCCTGTAGTTGTTCTGAACACGGCTACACTAATGGGTCTCGGCAAGTTGCGAGGGATTGGTGACTCTATTAGGTGGGCCCAAGATTTTCCAGCACCGGCTTGTATTTGCTGCTCTTTTATCTTCGCTTTGATTCCTCTTCTAATGGTGGACTTTCCTGATGTGTACGATTGGAAGCTAGGGGGCTGTGGAAGAGTAGTGCCTTCTTTTGCAAGTTCATCCGCCGCTTCATTTCCTTTAACACCGATATGACTAGGCATCCATTGTAGAGTAATCAGCCACCCTTTTTCCATCAAGTTCGATAGTTGGACACGGCAAGATATTGTTTTGGCACAGTCAGTGTATCGATTTGTCGACAGGGTGAGGATTGCGGCTTGGCAGTCGATGAAGAGGGCAAGTTTTTGGGGGTGTTTGAAATTCTCTAGATTTTTTGCAGCTTCGTGTATAGCAGCAATTTTGCCGTCGTAGTTGGTGAGAGGGCACCCATAGAGCCTTTGAAGAACGTTGAGACATATCCTGCTCCTGTTCTTCCCGAGTCCGGCATCGAGGATCCATCGCAGTAAATGTGGAGCCACTCATGTGCTGGGTACTTGGTGTGTATCGTCTCTAGGGCGGCTTTCATTAGGGCAATGTCTGATGATAAGTGCTTCGGGTCGTTATGGTTTTCAAGCAGTAATTCTGTGTTTGGTAGACAGTGGGCCAGTGTGGTTTGCACTGGGAAGGGGGCGGCTTTCGACAGGACAATGTGGTATTTTTCTATGATTTGGTTTGCTACTGTAAGCGGAATGGTTTGTGTTTTAAGACGTGAGGCTGCTTGTCTATATTCGTCCCATTTTTGTGAAAGTATTCGTCTTTGCCTTTTGCAGAAGGCTAACGCTTGTTACTCTCCGCGGCATTGTATTGGTTCAATACCGGTCTGGGCTTCCATTGATGTAATCGGTGTTGATTTTGGAGCACCGGTGATGACGCGAAGGGCAGTGTTCTGGGCGACTTCAAGCTTGGAGGTGGTGTTTGTACTCGCAGTTATTGTAGCTTCACTCCCATATTCTAATATCGGCCGGACATAGGTTTTGTATGTTGCTACCAGGACATCTTGCGTGTCGCCCCACTTTGTTGCTGTGAGACGTTTGAGCAGTCGACATCTCTTTGTGGCTTTCTCTGCAATGTCGTCGATTTGAGGTTTCCACGTCATTTTTAAATGTTATGTTTTATGTTTATATCGTCGAAGTTAAGTTCATTGGTTTTTGGTTTTTGTCGCTGAATTCGTTTTAACCTTAGTTTAATATCTGCTACAAGTGGTTGATGATCAGATCCAATATCTGCCCCAGGATATGTGACTTTTTGACGGCATTTCGGAAACGTTCATTTACAAGTATATAGTCTATTTGATTCCTTGAAGACTTAGGGTTACTGCCATCATCAAACGGGGCTTTCCAAGTGTATAGTCGTCGTTTGAGTAGTTTATACCAGGTTTTTGCAATGATCATATTGTTTTCTTTACAAAATTCATACAATGTCTGTCCTCGATCGTTAGGTTGTCCTAACCCATAAGGAGTTGTCCCCAATTTTTGCATTGAAGTCGCCTATAATATATAAAATTTCGTGTTTATTAACTTTCTGTAAGATGTCTTGGATCTAATCATACAACTTCTCAACTTCATCGTCATATTTTCTATCTGCAGTCGGGGCATAGATTTGAAGTATGTTTTAAATGGTTGAGTATTTATTTGGAGTAATATTATTCTATCCGAGACTGGTACGATATTGGTCACATATTTACTCAGTTTTGATGTTACTAATATACCTACACCATTAATGTGATGCGGGTCTTCTGTGCTGTTACCGGAATAACATAATACACTTCCGTCCTTTTTACATGATCCTGACTCTGGCCATCTCATTTCGCTGATTCCCAGTAGGTCTATTTTCATTACACATTTACATATTAGATTATGCGAAATAAAAATCAGATGTACACGCGATCACAGAGCTATTTCAACGATGTAAAGTTGTGAACCGGGAGATGTAAATTATGCATGCTTCATTGATTACCATAAAGCGTTCTATACAGTAAAACACGACAAGCTGATGGAGATATTAACAAATATTGGAATAAACACCTGTGATCTAAGAAATATTAGCAATCTTTACTGGAATCAAACTTCGCAGAGGCAAGAGAATCCGATGATATTAATTTATTTTTGTCCGACAGGGATGTATACTATCACCCTTGCTGTATACTAACCTATACTATGATGAAATCTTTCAAGAAGCAGTAGAGGATGTTGCAGTTGGAATTTGAATTAACCGAGAATGTATCAATAACATCAGATACGCAATGCAAAGAATGCAAAAAGAAAAAAAAATGTTAAATGCAATAAAAACAGCCAAAATCAAATATCTCGGTCACATCATGAAAGAAAACAAGAAATAGGAAGGTGAAGGATTTCCTGGCTGAAAAATCGACGTACGTGATTCAACACAACAACCACAAATCTTTTTAGAGCAGCAGTTTGCAAAATATAGATTGCTATGATCGTCGTTAACATCCGTAATGGATAGGTACTACAAGAAGAAGAAGAACGATGATGTGGATATCTTTTCAAATCGGATCCAGAATTTTTTGAAGAAGCTAGTAAATTAGTTGGTGCATACCCGTCAGATTTAAGTAATGAGTAATTTTTGTTCTATTTTATTCTATACCAATGCACATGTAAGTTGTTATACACAGTGTATAAATACACTAATACACTAACCTATTTTGTATTTTTAGAATTAGTATAGATTGTATTAATATTTAACTAACTGTAAAAAAAATCATGTATAAAGGGGTTTTCCCGCCAATAAATAAATAAATAAATAAAATGTTCAGATACTTCGTCAAACTCTTTATAATATGAATACAAATTAAATCTGATCGTTACTAGATATCCATTTTTTTCTTTTGAAAGTAACAATAAACTAATATCGAACAACGGAAGTATGTACTTCATAAAGCTGCCTGCCCCTTGAGTTACAGATTAACTGAAAGTATGTCGAACAAATTTGTACTTCCACGTTTTTGTAAATACACGCAAGGTATATTATATATAATTTTTCAATTGTCCAATTTGCATTTTGCTTCTTTATGGTTTGTATGTCTAGAATATTCATTATTTTTACATATTTTATTGCTGAACAAATATTCAAAATCAGGCAGATACAAAATACACTATTGTGTTTTATTTGAATACATATTTAAAAATAATAAGGCCGTAAAACTGTATTGCCAGACGGATAAAAAAAGATCGATCCCTGTTGTGATATTCGCCTATAAATCATTCCCAAATATTGAGAGCTATATGCAATTCATATTTTGTTGAAAACTCGTTTCTTGTACCTATCGGTGCAATTTTAGTGCTTACTCGCTGTCAAAAGCAAATAAATCATCCGTTATGTAACCCGATCGTTAGTGGATAACCTACCAATACATAAATATGTGGATCACTTATAATATATAACTCATAACTAGAATTAAGCAAATATCCAAAAAAAGTGAACTAATTTACACAAAAATATGCATTAAATATGCATTTCTTTTAGAAAATATGCATTTTTTTAGAAATTATGCATACTGTCAATGGAAACATAGATTTAATTATGGCATATTAATTAATGTTTATTTTAATAATTAGAAAACAATATAAATAAATTAAAAAACTACTTAGGTAATTGTAATGTACTAATTAATTGTAATGAGAGTAGTAAAAAAGTAAAATACTATTCCTTAGTATTATGAAAACAATAAATGACCAAATATTTTTCAAAATTATACAATAAATATGGTTTCTACCTGTGTACATATATTTGAAAATTAAGAAACTTCCTTCCACATCAACAGATGTAATGGGAACATATTTTAAATTCACAAAAATATTTGGTTCTAAATCTTTACAAAACTTCAGGAACATCAGCTACCTCAGTAAGTTCCTGAAAACCATTGTTTTTTTTTTAATTATTGTTTAAAATTTTTGAAAAATATCTTCTCTAGTGTCATGATTAACAAGCTGACTTATTTTCTTTTATTAAGGCTATGCTTTCTACCAAGGACAAGTTTGATTATTCTAATTGATTAACAGATTTTTGCAGCAAACTAAAATTTGATTTAATAAATGAAAGTTGCTGCTGAAAAATATTGTTTTTAAAAATTTGTTTAGCATCTAGCAGAGATTAGAAATTTTCATCCGGTAAATCGTCAATTATATTTTTTAAATCTGCGAAATATTCTGAATAGAAAAAAAGCTGCTTCTAAAGATGTACCCATCGAATTAGAACGAATTCTGGTGGAAGTGGAATATATTTATTTATAAAGTTGAGATCTTATAGGATATTTGAGGAATACTTTTTCAATGCTTGATATCAGGGAATTTACAAAAGGAAACTTTTTTCTAATTTCTTCTGCAACTTTGTTCATTCCATGTACTAAACAATTAACGTGTATTAAATTGGTGTAAAATATTTTTAAATTTTGTCATACCTTGACCATACATGATGTAGCATATAAAAAAAGCAATAACAAAGCAATAAAATCGGCACCTTACTGAATGGGCCTATCTCGCGGAAAGATGTGTTGGCGGAGAGGGGTGTACGAAAGGGTCACATTATATCGGGACTTGCTTTATATTTTTCGTTTTCAATTTCTGTCCAGGCCAGGTTGTAGTACTAGTAGTTTTGTGCCCATTTATGCCAAAAACTCAGAAACCCTAATTTTCGAGATGTGCCCTTTTAATACTAAGGATGCGATATTTTAAATTCACAAAAATATTTGGTTCTAAATCATTACAAAACTTCAGGAACATCAGCTACCTCAGTAAGTTTCTGAAAACCATTGTTTTTTTTAATCATTGTTTAAAATTTTTGAAAAATATCTTCTCTAGTGTCATGATTAACAAGCTGACTTATTTTCTTTTATTAAGGCTATGCTTTCTACCAAGGACAACTTTGATTATTCTAATTCATTAACAGATTTTTGCAGCAAACTAAAATTTGATTTAATAAATGACAGTTGCTGCTGAGAAATGTTGTTTTTAAAAATTTGTTTAGCATCTAGCAAAGATTAGAAATTTTCATCCGGTAAATCGTCAATTATATTTTTTAAATCTGCGAAATATTCTGAATAGAAAAAGCTGCTTCTAACCAAGTACCCCATCGTATTAGAACGAGTTCTGGTGGAAGTGGAATATTTTAAAGCATTTATTTATAAAGTTGAATTCTTATAGGATATTTGAGGAAGACTTTTTCAATGCTTGATATCAGGGAGTTTACAAAAGGAAACTTTTTTCTAATTTCTTCTGCAACTTTATTCATTCCATGTACTAAACAATTAACGTGTATTAAATTGTTGTAAAATATTAGCTAAGAATAACTAAGAACTACTACAGGAAGAAAAATTTCGATATTTCTTCTTGTACAAAACGTGTTATTAATTTTTTTTAATTGCTTGCATGAAATTAAATAGGATTTTAGTCAACTCTGATCGCTTAGAACACCAATCATTAAATGAGCGATATATCTTCCTGACTAATCAGTGGTTTCGTAAACACACACGTAGAAGTAATTGCCACTAATATTCGTTTTTAGATTATCTATTACTGATGAGTACAAGTTGACAGAGCGGGCGATAAGGGATTCCTAATCAATAAGAAATAAAAACAAGAGTAGCAGAAATAACTAGGTATCTCGGATAGAGTAGCTAGCTTAACCTAACAACTATCAAAGAGATACAATATACAAATTATACAACGATTACTCGCACTGACGAAGACAGAGCTACAGTAACATAACTAAAGCATTGAATAACAATAAAAATCACTTCAAATATTTTATCGGTGAGTTTAATGACAAAGTGGAAAGCGAAATGGCAATGAACAAGTCACGAAAAAGTATTGAGTCGGTGGGAAAAATGAAAGAGAAGAAATACTGGTTTAGTTGGCTTACTAACAAAACATGCCTATTGCAAATACATTCTTTAATAAAATATCGAACAGAAAATCACTTGGATAACACCAAATGGAACTACTAAGAACGAAATTGACTTCATTCTAACTAACAAGATTGCTACAATAAAATATGTCCATATGATATATAAATTTTAAACAGGTAGCCACCGTGACGGTCCTCAACCCCGACAAGGTGCGTCCCAATGGCTGATAGGGAACGTTCTCGTAGATATGCAGGACAGGTATAAATAAGGCTTCGCCAAATAAGTACCCGCGGATCAACAGAGGACATGACACAGGTCAGCAGGTATGTCATTAGTGGCCCGTGGCTGAGGAATACAATTCCTAACAGGAGCGGTACCACAAAGTCGCATGCGAAAATCAAATACTGATTTAACTGGCTGTGATACTGCGAACATCCACAAACCCGTCCGGCATGGGGCGGAGCAGAACAAGAACCCAGATAACACTGTAAAGTAAGATCTTAAGAGAAAGATAACAAATTTCAA